ATTTTATATTCTAGAAGAAGGAGAGAGGCAGCCTTCTGAAAATCTCAGTAAAAATTTGCAGACACTATTAGAACAGGCTCTACATGAAAGGCGTGATTTAACAATGACAGTTCGCTTCCTCTTTGGTTTTTTAAATGAAGAAAAAAGAATGACACGGTTAAAACAAGAATTTGGATGGAAAATTTCTCCTAAGAATAAGGAGTTCTTAATAGCCTGGCTGAAAAATTACAATAATGAAAGGATTCTGAAAGAAGAAATATTTAGTTATTTATATGAGACACAAGATGACAATTTTGTAAAAAATGCATTGTATAATGTGACTACAGTAGATTATGTTTTCAATTCCGTTATGGAATTGATGATCCTGGCCTATTGTATACAACACTGCCAGAATTTGGAGGATCTCCATGTTGGAGGCGCTAGTATATTTCTAAATAAGAGAGAGGAAGAAATATTTCCATTAGGAAATGAGTAAGTATTTTTGAAAGTCTGATGAACATTTAATTCAGTTTATGATCCTGGCACCACTGTTCTCTAACCTGCCATCTTAAATATAACAATAGGCTAGAAAAAAGGCCACTTAGTAGTATGGATAAATGTCTTTGGGCAACTAAGTTAAGGAGGGGTCTCAAATCCTTAGCAGTTGGGACAACACATGGCTTGGCTTGGGTGGGTGTGGAAGGACTATTCACTAAAAAGGAGCACTTGTCCATTGGTCAGACCAACACCAATCAGTCCCTCTTGATCTTAAGAACTTGATAGTCATATCACAAGGAAGTGCTCAGCTCAGCTCAAGGACAGAGAGGTAATTGCTTTTGTGACCAAGAGGCTGTAACAAATTTAAATAAATAATAGAATAATGCCATTTTAAAAAATGTGATCATTTTATACATAGCCCAACACTGTCTTTAACAACTGCATACTAATTTGAGGTTGGAAATTCCTGAGTTCAGGGATCTTTTGAAAAACTTTCCTTGTTTCTCCATGTCTGTTTCCATCTTCAATGTCTTTACAGAGATTGTTGTAATACAAGTAGTCCTCAGCTTACGTCCATTCATTCAGTGGCCATTCAGAGTTACAACCGGTCATTGCAGCTGTGGCTGTCACAGCATCCCTGCAGTCATGTGATTGCGATCCAGGTGCTAGGATGCCTGGATCGCAATTATGTAGCAGTAAGCTGTGTCACGTGATTGCCATTTGTGCCCTTCCTTGCTGGCTTGGCATAAGCAAAGTCAATGGGAAAGCCAGCAGGGAAGGTTGCAAGTTGTTGCAGTAATTTGCTCCTGCTGCGTTTTCTCCTGAAGAGCCCACTACAGTGTCAGATTCAGCCGGCACGGCATGGCAAGGCGAAAGTGCTGCCCGGCTTCACCTAGTCAATTTTACCGCCCGAGCTAAAAAGGGGAAGTGAAAACCGCGAACTGATTGGCAACAGGTGGCGGTGCTTAACTGAAACTGCAAGCGATACTTTGTATAAGTGCAGGCTTCCCTCGAGCGCTGCAGACAAAGGAGAGCACAGAGGCTCAGGAGTGAAGCAATCAGCATGCGATTGAGAACTCCTGGCTTTACGCGCAAACAGGAAAACCCAGCAAAGGCAACAACAGCACAACTCATAGACGGCAATCAAGAGGACAAAAGAACCGGACTGAATCTGCCATTTGGGCGAAGGGATTACTGCAGGTAATCTGTAACTAAGCAACGGGCAAAACGCGGGAACGGAGAAGCTATAAAATACATTGTAAGATGTGCCAAGCCATCCCTGGCTTTGTCTGTACTTACTTATGTTACGCTTGAGTAAACTTCTTTGCTGAACACACGTGTCACGAGAGTTTCTCTGAGACGAACTGGGTAAACCTTACATAAAGCCAGGGTTCACCTTTGAGCACTACCCGGTACACACCGAGGAGCGCTCACCTTTTTCCCATAGCCAGACCGCGAGAGGACCCAATCAACTTTGCCAGGAGATGGCCAGCAATGGTGAGGGCATGAGCTCGCGGAGCGGCAAGGAGCCCAGACCAGTGGTCGCGACAGTGGGGCCAATCCCGAGTGAGAGAAGAGGACCAGCACCCACGGCCAGTTCGCGGGGCGCCAGGTGGTCGTTCGGTGTTGGGACGGGGCCCGAAGGGTCGACGAGACATGGAGTCACAGGGAGCCACAGCGCAGGGTCCAGGAGCAGAGAGCTGGAAGAGAGGCTGAACCGGATAGAGAGCGACTTCCAGCAGCAGCTGACAGCCATACAGGACATGCTGCAGGCATGGCTTCACCGACCCGGAGCCCTGGCTGGCTACAGAGGGCAGCCACAGAGGGCGGCGCACAAGCAGGGGCCAGCGCGGGACCCATGTCCAGGCTGGCAGCAGCAGCCAGCCCTGCGGGAGGCGCAATGGAGGACTGATGGGCTGCAGAGGCACTCCGGTTCAGGAGCTCGAGGAGCTCGAGGAGCAAGTTCTCGGGGGATCTCGAGCAACTACCCTGCTTCCTCACGCAGGATGGGCTCCACCAGAGATCCCGGAGAGAGCACTCAGCAGGGATGACCCGGAGACACTAGTGGAGTGGACCTGGCTGACGGGGATGGTGGAAGCTGCCTGGGGCAGGGTTAAACGAGGGACCCGAGCCCAGGTACCAACCCCACCCAACCATGATGAGGTGGTCCTGGAGGCAAGGTGCAGGAGCTGACGGCGGAGGCTCGATGACGGAGAGGCCTGGCAAATGGCAGGTGCCTGCTACCATTGCGGAGGGAAGGGGCACCAGGCGGTGCAGTGCCCCTTGGGGCAGGACGCCCCGACGCACTGCCCAGAGGACAGGCCTAGCGACCTCCGGCTACAAGAAACCCCAACTGACCCCGGAAGGAGGCAGCAGCTTGCGGAGCGGCATATGGCGGAGCTGGCTGGCTCGTTTCAAAGTTCGGCTCCGCGAGAGGGAGAGAGCGAGCCAGCAGAAAACGACAGGTATCTACGCTGAGGCGCACCCCAACAGAGCCGCAGGATGAGGACCCGCTGGGAAGCAGGGACTGCTCACCCATGCGGGTCAGGGTCCACCTCAAGGGGGTGAGATTGGAAGCGGAAGCGAACATCGAGGCCCTGCTGGACTCGGGATGTACCTGCTGCCTTATCCACCCAGTGCTGGCATCTGCACTGGGGCTCCGAGTGTGGAGACTCAGGGAGCCCATCGCATTCAGCCAGTTGGACGGATCAATGGCAGTGGGGAGACTGGTGCAGTATTGCACTGAGCCGGTCGGCATGACGGTCGGGGCCCACCGGGAGGAGCTACGGTTTGTAGTTACCCGGGTGGCCGACCACGCACTGGTGCTAGGCCTGGCATGGCTAAAGCACCAGAACCCCCACATCGACTGGGCGTCCAAGACCGTGTGGTTCGGCGGCACCACAAGGCAGACTGGGTCGGGCCGCGTAGGAGACGCGATGGCAGAGGACCCAGCAGAGCTCAAGGTGCTAGAAACAGGAAGAGCGGCCAAGGGTCGGCAAGCTGCAGCAGCGACTGGAGGAGCAGCAGTGGGACCCGGGCAACCAACCGCCCGCAAGGCGAAGACAAGGACGGCATACAGAATTATATACAGAATATGAGATCCCAGGGCTCTTGTACTCAGTAGTACTCCTTGCCTGCCCACACTCTGTAATGTGTGGCCACCCACAGTCAATCCCTGCCCATCTGTGGCCCCTGCTGACCCACCTGCAGTTCCCTTCTACCCTCCCATGGCCTCTGCCAACATGACTGCAGCCTCCACTAGCCCTCCTGCAGCCCCTGTTGGCCCTTCCTCTGGCCCACCCATGCCCTGTAGCACCTCCCTGCGTAACCCCACCTGGCTGTGGCACCGTGTCATCCCTCCTGGGACTTCCAGGATTGCTGTCACTAAGTGATGCAGTCACATGATGTCACACTTTAGAACTGCATCACTAAGCCATGGCAATCCTTAGCCCAATTGCTGTTGTAACCTGAGGAGTACCTGTACTGCTTCTTGTCTCTTCTAACAGCTCTCTGAAACTCTTAAGTTCCTTCCTTATTTTTGTCTTTTTGATAATTGCCCAGGAATAAAGTGACTAACAGAGCAGTTAACCTTCAAAACTTGTCTTTTAACTGGTATCATCAGAGTTGTCTGAAGGCCTAGGATCTGGAGGCTGGAGGATCTGGAGCTGCTCTCATATAACTCCATGGGCTGACATGACTTGATTAGGTGCCTTGCCGCCCTCTCCTTTCAAGGAGGCGTACTGATTCCCTTTGCTCAGTCCTTCGTAGTTCCCAGTGTGTTCTTGACTAGGCTCCCCGCTAGAATGTGTTCCCCCAATATCTGAACTGGGCCTCATCTGCTCTGACTCTTTGTCCCCTGAAGCTGTCACGGGTGCCTTATTTCCTGCTTCCTTTTCCAGCCGACAATCGGTCTGGTCCCCCTTCAACCCCTGACTCAGAAGACGGATAGAGTCATAACAGTGTTAGGGAAGCAAGCATGAATCCATCACTTCTGGGGAGGGGGGTCTCGGACAACACCTAGTTAGACCTTTTGTACTAGCACTCTTGTCAACTTCACATTGCTAAAAAAAGATAGGTCCACCATTTACTATTCCATCCATGAACTTGTTTTTTCATAAATGTCCAGCCTTTCCAGTGATTTTGTACAATTAAGAAAACTAAAAAAAAAAATGTCCACAATGGGAGTAACAAGTGACCAGAGGGAAGAAGGCATTCCTGCCCGAGTGCAGAATAGCCAGTTGGAGCAGAGATGTTTGCCTAAAATAAAATTAAGCTCAGCCAGCGATCTAGACAGTCCCACTTGTTTGTAATTAAAGGCAATAATTATCTCTCTGTTTATTCCTTTTCTTTGTATCTAGGATGCCATGCCAAATCTTAATTCCTTCAAGCGATGCTCTATAACCATTTCATTTACAAAATGGTCTTTCTCTACTACTGGTTTTCCATACTACAACATCAGTATATTTGTTTGTGGTTACTTGACAGATGGACTAGAATGCCAATTGTATTTGAAAAGTAGAGGAACTGGAAACACTAAATGTCAGTCTCTGACCAGAAATGTCTTTCTCCTTTAGCGTGTGGAGTATGGATGAAAAATATATGGAAGACTTCTTTAAAGCACTGACAAAGCTGAGAAATTTAAGAACCTTGAGGTAAATAACTGCTTGCATTTTATTCTAGATTTTATTGATACAGAAACCAATACATAGTATTACAAGTTTGCATATTGCCCTAAATATGATTGCTATGGCAGCCTCTCATTAATTTCTCATGATGAACTAGAGGAGGCTTTGTTGGGGGTTTCTGCAGCCTGAGGTGGAATTGGATGATCTCTGCAACATTGAGAGAGAAGGAAGCAAACTTTGAAAAATGTAAGGAAGGATGCACAATTATCACTGGAATTCCTGGATGAAAGGCTGTTGGAGAGCATCCTCTGGAGAGAGAAGACAGAGAGATGGAGCCCCACATGTTTTTGTGGCTGTGGGAGAAGGTCTGAGGAGGAGTATGTCCGTGATGGGTTATGGGGGGATGGAAGGTTAAGAAAGAGGTTTCTATGGCATGTTGTACTGGTTGAATTGGTAGGTGGGTCAGTTGAAGTGCTTGAGAAGCAGCAACCTGCTCTTGGTAGATGGAATGAATTAGAGTGGTTGTGTGGATAGTCGGTCAAGATGGAATTGGTGGCGGTGGAAAGACTGAGGCAATGGGTTGGAGGGAAGGAGGCTGGGCACCATCTTTCTTCTAGCTCTCTTCCAAAGAGGAATGGTACTTCAGTTCATCACAACACATGAGAAAGCAAGCAAACCTACAGTTCCCAGAGTAACATAAATAGATAATATATATCCTCATCTGAAAGTAATTTCCAAAATATTCATTAGATTCATATGTTGTTACTTTTTCAATTTTAATAAATCTTAGTAATAAATCTCTGCAGTCAGAGATGGGATAGTCCTGTTCCTTTCAAATAAACACTTCCAGTCCTGTTTGTTATAAAAGAGGCCCACCTTTTATGAGCTGTGAGAATAATCTTGAGGAAGAAAAGGAAGAGCCACAGGCAAGGCAATGGTCAGGTAGTGCCATAGCTAACATCAATAGCTGTTGGCGACCATTTGTGGATGAAGCTTACACATAATGTAGAAGAATTTTGCTACTTTTAAAGAAATACATTTATCTTGGTTGTTTAACAGATAATGCAGATAAAAATTATCAGAGTGCCCTGGAAGTTTAAATAAAAGGTGGTAATCAACTGGTGGCAAATGCCCCTGTAGGACTGATAACACAAAAGAACGTGGGCTGTGGTTTCTATGGCACCCATGTCACAGGGGCATTATCGGGATTCTTATGGATTTTCCTATATTTCCCTTCCAAAACAGCTGTGGGGAAGACCTGAAATAGGGCGAGAGATAAGGCTCTCCTGAATTTGGGGACTGTAATATGATATAAATATGAAGCTGATTTAGGTGCTAAGATTTGGTTATTAGCAATTATATTATGAGCAAATGCAGCAGTTTCTGTTTGGCCTTCTGTATCTGAGATCTTTTATCTTAACATTGATCTAGCTTGAACTGATTATAAGGGCAAGATGGCATCACTGGAGAAACCATAGAGACTTAGTTTATTTTGGATAACTATTTCCCA